AATAATCCCTCAAAACAGAAAATAAAAAATGAATTCAAAACTGAAAATAGAGAACAGAAACGCAAACCAAACCCCAACCATTTTTTATTTTACTTTGAGCCATGAAATTTAACATTATAGGGTGAGGTCCTTTGTTGTCTATTCACATGGATTCCAATTAATTGATGAATCCAATCAAAGTAACTTTTCATGTAATTTTTTGGATGAGCCGTAATTTTTATATGAAAGGCAGAAAGGCATTAGATTCGTATTCATAGATTAAAACCTAGCCGACAGACAAAAAAAGGCTGCTTAGTGGACGATGACGGTTTCATCAGTTTCTTATTTTAAGGGATTTTTATTTATTTTTTGGATAAAAGATTTTGTGTGAATTCTTTTGCGAGTCGGTCCAAGAATGAGATGAGGTGTAATGACCAAAGTAAAGCAAAGCTTTCTGGAAGAGGCTTGGCTGCTGCTTTTTCTCGCCCGTCCTTCATTCATTTAGATGGGCAAGACTAGTCCCACGAAAGTATACGGGTCAAGGGATCCTTCTCCCTCCCCTTCTTCAAGTTTCGATTCCTATTTTTCATAGAGATTGAACGTCAGTAGGATCCGATATGCATTCCTTACTTAAATAGGAAGGTGAACCAAACGTCCAGCGGTGCATGAAGACTCACCCTAGCCACTTTATCGACCCCACCCCCAACACTAGTTGAGTCAGAGATGCCTTTTGTCATAGTCTATACTTATTCGTCCAAATGGTCGACCTTGCCATCAAATTGGGTCACTCGATCCTTGAGTCTTACGTATTTTGGAAGGGAATCTTCCATCTTATTCCCCACTGTTTTCCATCGCGTCATTCAGAATTTAAATCTAAGACCTCTGCTTTATAAAAGACTTAAATTGAATCCTGAAAGACGAGACAAAAAGTTGTGAAGGGTAAGAGAGAATATTTCCCAAAGCGAACAATATGTAAGAGAATGGTCAGGCACGAGACTTGGGTCGTAAATGTGCGTTTTCTTATAAATCAAATCATTTATAAATTCTTCACAGACGAAGGCTAAGATTCGCATTAAACTTACAAATAACAGTCCAACATGTTTGTGACCTATAACAAAAATCTTTTTTCTATCAACTTTATAATTCGTAAAAAAAAAATTTAATTCGAGTTCTTGAACTTAGAATATTTGTTGTTGTTTGAGTAATACTTAAAACATCACGAGCATTAAAACTTAAACACGATTGTGAATATGTATCACTGTCGTGATGAAGACACAAACATCATATAGTAAATCAATTCAGTCAAACGAATTTTATAAGATTATCGGTATAGTAGTGGCAAAATAGAAAGAGCAGGAAATTAAACAGTTACAAATCTGATTAAATTCAACAAGTTTAATGGCTTCCATCTGTTTCCAAGCCAATACTACCATCTATCAAAATTCAAAGATGCTTCAACAAATGACGTAAACACCCTTGACTAGAGCCTATCAATCATGAAAGGGAAGTGGATAATTTAGTCAATATACTCATGCTCGGTGGCCATAATAATTCATAGAAACTAATATCCCAAAAATTTCAACTTTGTAGGCTATGATGTTTCCATCTCAAAAAATGCCATTCGATTTGGATTGTGACTATATGAGGATATACCAAATATATAGATTTGGACCATGAGTGATAATTGTGGTATTTTGCATATTCACTCGAAAGTTTAAGTTAAAAATGCATTTTTTATCGGAGTAAAGGTCCGATATGTGTAAAGTTTTCATAATGAATGGGATCAGAACCTTCACGTGCTCTGACAATTTATTGAATTTTTTGACACGTATAATCATCACAAATATGATTGATACATTTGCCCTAACTCGAAATGAATTATCATTTATCTCAATGAATATACATTAACATATGGTATATTGAACGAACGTATAAAATAAATAAGAGATATGTGTACTGAATTACATCCTTGTGTCTCGTATACCTCCTCTTACACTACATATATGATATGTAGACGGAAGGACAACATCAAAACAATTTTCTATTCACATGATGTACAATTCAAATAGTGCAAAAGGCACCCCCTACCCACCCCATACAAGATTTAAATGGCACTACAAATTGGCACCAAACCCTTCACTTATGCATCGTTCAATTTCCTCCTCTCCTCTCTGTCTCCTCTTTGTCTCTCTAAAAGGTCAAGAAAATCTTGTTCTTTTTCTTGCAAAGATTCCATATATTTGCTGTGGGATCTCCATTTCTTTTCTTAAGTTTTCTATGTCAACTATAGTGAGTCGGAATCTTGTATCATATTTCGAGCAGTCTCAACACAAAGAGACAGCAAGCCTGAAGCTGAAAGTGGCGCCTCCGTCGCCGTCGCTGTCGTCAAACACCGTGGAATTCGGCATGTTAGGAAGTGATGATATCCCAGAAGTTAAAGAAAATCTTGAAATAACTGGTTGGAGTTCTCTTCAAAATCTCTATTCCACAATCCCGAAGTCAGCAAAGGAAAATGATGCCCCATATATTCATCCCTTTGAGAAAAAGTCACCAAGTGAAAAAATAAGCCTGGAGTTATGTACTGAAAATCTAGGAAGCGAAACGGGCACCGATATTTCTGATTGCAGCATTTTCTCAAACAGTTACAGCTCAATCCAGAATGCACCAGAAGAACCGAAGCAGGAATCAAGAAATCTCAATAAAGCAGCAGCAAATTCTTGCCGCAGTTTTCCCCCGCCGTTGACAACAATTAGCGACCGCTCAAATTCCCTGCAAGTCCGGCGCCACTGTGAAGGCGGCAGGCTAATAATCGAAGCAGTGGAAACCCAATTTAAGCCCACTTATCTTCAAGCAGACAGAAGCGATGGCCGCCTCAGGCTATGCTTTTTCCAAGATTATGACACAAAATTTGACCCACAAACGACCCACGAAGAAGAAGAAAGTGAAGAACGTAACAGTGAATTGGAAGATGAAATGTATGAAAGTGACGTCATTGATGGAGAAGAAATAGAATTAGAACAAGAAGATGATGATGTGAGACATGGACATGGACATGGACAAGGCATGGATGTTGAAATGGGAATGGAGAAATTTCAAAGGTTTAGTAGTAGTAATTGGTGCAAGGAAAGTGGGCATGGGAATAAAGGATTCTGTAATTGGAAGCCTGCTCTTTGGGTCGCTATTTCCTAATTTTTTTATTTTTTTTGTTACATTGCCTAAAATGTTATGCTATGGGTGATGATGTATATAGGTATTGGAAAGGAAACTCTCCATTGCATGTTTACCTCGGATAAACTTCAAGCGTTTTGATTAGGATTGGACGTTAGGATTGGACGACATCTAATTTGGTTCGATTTTGAAAGGAATCGAATTGACTGTTGATTATAATCTTAAAAATAGAACTATGGATTTCATATCTAACTTTGAATCCGAACCAGAACTGAACCAACCAATTCCATTTCGGTTCGATCCCATTCTTTAAATTGAAAAAATTATGAAATTACTTGTCATTTTTCTTTAACTAAAATACGTATGAAAAATAGATTATTAGCTTGAGATAAATTAGCATTGTAATATTTGGTACATTTTGATGTAATGCACCAACTAATAGAGAAATTCAAGAGAACCTAATTCACTCGCGGTTCTCAAGGTAGCATGAAGAACTGGAACCAAATCGATCGATTCTCAATGAATGATCTATCATGTTCGTGTCCGGTTCCGTCAGTTCTAAAAAAAATTGTCTGCTACTAATCTTGATAAGTTATTTTTGATAATTTTAATCGAACAGGACAATAGAAAATATTTTTAACTTCTTGCTTTCATTCTCTCTATTCCACCTTTCAATAAAAGTTTTGATTTGTATAGTGAAATGAATTTTACAAAAATTGAACACTGTATTAGAAGAAGGAAAAAATGAAATTTTTCTACATATCAAACACGAATGACTTCCAACACAAAGACTCGTGTTGTGATTTAAGTAGATGCCACGGAAGAAAGTAAGAAAGAGAAACAAAATAAAAATTATTAGAATATGACACAAATGACTTTGTGTATCATATGAATGAGCGAGCGTACCATATAGAATTGTCTTATCGAAATGGACATCAATTAAATGATAATATTGGACTTATAACACAATTGACTCATCACGTACCTAATATCACTAATGTTACAACATCCGTCTAGATGACACTGTGTAATATACTGAAATGAATATAGAATTATGTGAATCATTTAATTGTATCCCTCATTCGATATTACATATTCTGATATTTTAATTCTCGTGGTGTTAAACAACATTATTCAAAAATCTAAGAATCTATTAATATTTTGTTAATACGCCAAGTGTTACAAAAGTCTAGAAAGCAAATTATTTAGTAGACAAAAGTATAAGACAACTTTTGTCTATTAGTTTGAATGATTGGGTTTCCAAAACAATTGGGGACCATATTCTGCGCAAATAAATGAAAAACTAATAACAAAAGACAAAAATTTAGACATGAAATGAAAACGAAAAAGAAAAATTTCCCATTTCAAAAAGATTATTGCAACGCATTCATTCTTCAACTACTTTCTTTGTCTAATTGTCTCTAAAAAATCTTCTCAACTCTACTTCTTATTTGATAAGTGTATTTTATACACTTATTTGGACTTAAAAAATATAGACATTTAATAGTTATTTTAAACAATTATAGCCTAATTTATTGTATATTTAGTTTATTATGTAAAACTCGATGAAATGAAGTGGATTTAAAGAAAGAAGCGAAAAATGGACAAGATCCAAAGTGTGAAGGCTAAAGTGTAAATACTCAAAAGTTGAAACGAAGTTCACGATGAAGATTCGAGAATGCTATATGTCAATTGGATGCAATTAGAAGTCAAAATGAGTGAAATATGACTAAAATATTTGCACAAATCAATTTTCAACCGCACAAGGATGTTTCAAATTTTCAGTCGAAGATTGAGACCAATTATTTGCCTAGTAAACGTTCTAATTAAAAAATATTTATTTCTGGTAAAGTTGTAGCCCTTTAAAGTATCTTTACAAACCAATTTGAATAATCTCAATCTAATACCGAGAGAAAAGTTATGATAAAAATATTAAAAGAAGTGCAATACTGAAATTTTCCCAAGAGGCGGCAGCATGGCGCCGAGGCACGACCATGTTGTCTTTGTAGTGCCGCGGCAGCATGGTGGTGTCAAGGCACCGCCTAGGTGTATCTAGGGCGTGTGTTTGACCCGTTTTGAAACCCATAAAAACCCTACATTTGACACAAACGTTGAGAAGTGAGGGAGTTCCACACAATTTGGAGAGAGAAAAACACATAATCATTAAGATCAAAGAGAAAAAGTTAGGGTATGAAGACTTTTAAGATTGAAGAAGATTCTGGTGCAAAATTCAATTTTTTCCATGATCAAAATTTCAAAACCTGTTTATGAACTCTATACTTTTTATTTTTCTTTCATTATTATGAGTAACTAAATTTATAGTTAGGGCGAACAATGTAATTTATGTGTGACCCTTCAATTTTTTTTATTCAAGATTCTAGTTCTTTAAATGCATATGTGTTGATTTTATTCACGAATTCAATACTTTGAATTCTTTAGCAAATTATTTAATGATTTTGTAAATTTATTACGAATTGAGAGGTAAGTTTTAGATTTAAACCACACAGTAAACGTGTCGAAATACATATACTAATTATTGCAATCATTAGATGAATTCTTCGTTTAATCAAGATTGATTCACTCAAAGATATGGAATTGAATTAGTTAAATAGATTCAATGAGAACCCGAGATGAGCAAATTGAATACTTTATAAGAATTTGATCGAACACTACAATAGTGATGAATTTTGATGGCGAATTAAAGGAAATCCATAGGTAAAATTGTAAGTCAAGGTATCCACATTCATACTTTTAAAACCTAAATTCGATAAATTATGCAAGTTATATTAATTTAGTTTAGTTGTAATAATTTACACACTAATCACAAATCTTATTATTTGATTTCGATCAAATTAAAGTTTGAATAATTTAACCAATTGTTAGATAGTAGTCCTTATGAGAACGATATCTGGACTCATTGGTCCACTACATTACTTGTTACGAACCATATGCTTACATGATATAAAAATCGACAACAAAATGACATATTAATGAAATGATACGGATGTGACCCTTTAGTTCTTTTATTCAAGATTCTAGTTTTTTAAATGTATATATGTTTATTTTATTTATGAATTCAATACTTTGAATTCTTTAGCCAATTATTTAATAATTTTGTAAATCTATTACGATTCGACTAGTGGGTTTTAGATTTAAACCACATAGTAAAATTCGATAATTTAGTATAACATGTGAGATACCTATACTAATTATTGCGGTCATTAGATGAATTCTTAGAATTAATATTTTATTTAACTAAGATTGGTTTACATAGAGATATAGAATTGACTTAGTGAAATAGACTCAATAAGAACTCGATAGAAGTAAATTGAGTACTTTATAAGAATTTGATCGAACACTACAATAGTAATGAGTTTGATAGCGAATTAATGGGGATCCATATGTAAAATTTTATGTCCTAGTTTTCACATTCATACTTTTAAAACCCAAATTCAATAAATTGTGTATGTTAGATTAATTTAGTTTAGTTATAATAATTTAGACACCAATCACAAATCTTATTATTCAATTTCGTTTAAATTAAAGTTAGAATGATTTAATCAATTGTTAGATAGTAGTCATTGTGTGAACGATATACAAAATCATCGGTCCACATATTACTTGTTACGATCTATACACTTGCGGGATATA